TAGCCCGTCTCCTGGGCTCTGGAGGCCAAAGGAACTTGGGTAGGGAGGAGGATGGAAAACTGAGCCTCCCCTGGACATGTGCCCCTGCCACCCCAGCACTAGCCCAGATGCATCTTTAAGGAAATAGGGTAAATGATTTGAAATTAGCCCTCTTGGGAGAGGTTGGTAGTGCACTCCCTGGACTAGAACCTGAGGCCACAGGCCTCCTCCCCAGCCCCTATCACTCACAACTCCCAAGACTCCCATCTCTCTCTTTCTCTCTCTCTCTCTCTCTCTCTCTCTCTCTCTCTCTCTCTCTCTCGGGGCTGGGTCTGCACAGCCAACTGGGAAGGGTTTGTGCCCTCTCTCCTGGGCCTGGCAGTGGGAGGTGCGGTGGCCCAAGAGAGAGCCAAATTTGTCTTGTTTGAGGATGTGGGGTGTGGAGGGGCCTTCAGCGGATGGTGGCGCTCATTAGGCAGAATGGGGTGCCGAGAGGTGCGCAGCGCCCGCCCCGGAGGCCGCCTTTGAGCCGTCGGGGCAGCTTCATTAAGCGGCGCTAACAAGGCATACAAATGCCGGGCCCAGCAGCTTTCTTGCGATGCCGGGGCCTTAGCAGGGCGCCAAGCTAATGAGGGTCACTCAAAGGGGCTGATCAAATATTCAAATTTCTCCGCACGCCAGGAACTTTTATGTGCGGTGAAAGTTGAGGCAACTGAGCTGTGTTTACTGTCCCGGGCGACAATTGCTCGGAGCGCGGGTCCCGGGAGGCTAGGGGGGGGGGCAGGGAGGGAGCAGTTGTTGTTGTTGTTGTTGTTTTTCATTCAAAGGAAAGTAATCGGGGTCCTTGAAGGGCTTGGAGGCCTCCCCGCCTACGTGCTGCACTCCCCTGCGCCCTCATCGGCCGCCCACGCCAAGCGCCTCGGTTTGCAGCTTGCGGGGAGGCCCAAACCGCGGGCCCCGGGATCAACCCCTGCCTCCCGACGTCCTGGGGGCCGGAAGGGCCGTCGGCCCCCCCCCCCCCGGTACAAACCGGCCCTCCACAGCTGAGCAAGGCCGAGTGGGTGTAGCTGCTCCCGTAGGCAGGTTTGCGGACCTCTTGGCTTTCCGCGTAACTCTAAGGAAGGAGTGGGTCTCTCAGGCACCTCTCCAGGTTTAGACTGCTGGGCTTGGGGCTAATTTGTAAATAAATGCCCCGTAGGTCCTAGTACGAGAAAGACACTCTCCGGCTCAAACGCCCTTTCTCCCTGCACCACCTGTACGCAGTCCTGCGGGTTGCCCGGCCCAGGATTAAAGCAGAGACGGTGGTGGCAATTTTGTGACCTCTGCCTGTACGGGCTCCAAGTCCCAGACCTGGAGTCTGAGCGGCCAGAGGGCAGGGGAAACCTACAGGCCCCGCGGGCTGACACGTTCATCCCAATCTCTACGCTCTGAGAGACCTTAGGTGCTGGCGCCCCCCTGCGCGCTACCCCTCCAGATGTCCTCCGGGCTCAGCTCTCTGCCCTCCCGCTGCCTACTGCCTCGGGCCCCCAGAGCGGCGGGAAAGGCTCCTGGGCCCCAGAACCCGAGGTCCTTGGGCTCCTACGCCCCTCCCCAAAGCCCAGCGCCTGGGAATTTGGGAGGGGAAGCTCTAGTGCTCCATAGCCCCCTCCCCCACACGGTCAGCACTCCCAGACCCGGACCCCACGGAGCCTGCGCTCCCAGCTCCATCAGCCATCCGCGCAGAGGACCGGCCACCCCGCCTACCCCCCTCCGCCCCCCCAGCTCTCGGGACTCTCAACTTACCGGCTCCTGGCGGCGGGCGTCGTGCTTCGGGCCAGAGCGGGGAGGTTCTGGCGGCCGCCAGGCCGCGAGGTGGGCTCCGTAGGCGGTGCGGAGCTCGGTTCTGCGGGAAGTGTCTGACAGCCCGGGGCTGACCGCCCGCCCCGTGGCGCCGGGCCCTGTCCCAGCGCACAAAGCTGCGCGCCTCGAAGCCGCCCTCCGCCTGGCTTTGCACTCCCGAGTCGCGGCTGCCACCCCAGCAGGCGGGGTGCGGCGCGTCCGCAGGCGCCCAGGCCAAGGCTGGGGGCAGGGGTGTCGCCGAGCTGAGTCGCAGCCCCACTTGCCTCAATTCTCCTTGAGTGGTGACGGTTTTCGATTTCAGCACTTTCGGCAGAGCCCGCGACACCTGCCCAGGCTCCCTCCGGGGCTGGCTAGGCAGCGGCAGGGAGAGGCCGAGTTGCCCCCACCCGGAGGCGGGGGTTGTGGGGACGGGGAGGGGACTGGCTGGGTTCACCCGCCCGCCCGGCGCCTGGGTCCTCGGCTCCAGGGGATGCAGTTTCGGGGTCACGAGCTGCTTTCAAAAAGTTGAACACAATATTCGGAAACCCACCCGTAGGAATTCTCCCCCCACACGCGGCACAATACCCACTCCCTCCCCTTTTTCATTCCTTCCTCCCCCGCTTCCTCCTCCTGCCCCTTCCCCCTCCCACCCCTCAGCCTATAATCCTTCCCCTACTAGAGAAAGGGATCGGGAAGAAAAGATGAAGCGTCTGTTTTTGTGTCCCAACCTTAGGGCTCTTTTCTGGGCCCGCTGTGAACGACCGCCCAGAGCTTCGAAGCTGAACGGAAAAGGACCCACGGTCGGGAGCAAGCTACTTGGAGGGGAGAGATCACCCAAAGTGGGCCTTGGCGGGTCTTCCTTTTGAGCGAATATTTCCCTGCCTCAGTCATTGGGTTTAGGACCGGCGACCCTCGACTGCCAGGGGCGGAGCAGGCGGGTAGCGGGCCTCCTCTCCCAGCCCAGAGCCTCCCGGCCAGAGCAGAGCCTCCGCGGTAGCTCGCCCTTCTCTGCACAGGAGGCCTGGCTCTGCGGGAGTCAAGGCCTAGCAGGACCTGAGCTGGGGTTTAGAAGTGGGACACTCACAGCCCTAGTCACGTTAAGTTTCCCATTTAAATTCTCTCTCAATCTCTTTCTCTCCTCCCTCATTGAGATCTCCAAAGTGGTGTGGACTCCGTGCCTCGCCCCCAGATCTGCATCGGAATGTAGAAAAGATTTTTTTTTTTAAAGAGTTTTGAATTCCTCAATGATTTTTCTTCTGGAAAGGCAGCTTAGGATAATTATTTCAGCTTTATTGAGGGCAGATTAGTTGAAGTCTGGACGCTGCGTTTCAATACGCGTTGTACACGGGCCGACAATGTGGGCATTGTTGGCTACTGTGTGTGAACTCATTCAAAATATACACTTTTTAACACCAAACCGAGTCTTGTCTAAATATACACAGTGCTAAGGGGAAAGACGTCTCTGACCCCGACAAATCTGCGTAAATCACACTTCCATAGTTACAGAAGCCTCACAAAGGGAGGCCCAGCTAAAGATGCTGATTACATCTTCTTAAAAGCAACATACCTTAGAATAAATACCCATACCAGCCCTGGATCTGGGGGAGGGTTGCAGTGGCCAGAGGGAGGGAAGGCTCTCTCTATTCTATGGGCCCTTTGGGGGTCTGTTTTAGGCTTGTCATGCTACTGTGCTTAGATAAAATAGCTTTTTTTTTTTTTTTCTTTACAATATGAGCAAACACACAGTGTTCAGTCCTATCTGCTTCTTTGAGGAATCCTCCAAAGTTTGAGTGTCGTTCTGGGGCTTGTAGGCAGGTCCAGAGCTCCTTGGAGGAGTAGGAGTCATGGGCTTGTCAGGGGGCTCCAGAGGGTTCCAGACTTCTCAGCTCCCTGGGGGACACAGTTAAAGTCTGGGGTGGGGAACAAAGAAGTGGCTTGCTTTTCAAGATAAAAAGAAGTGTACTGTTATTTTTACCGGTATTTAAAAATACAGAGCAATAAGGGAAATCAAGGCTCCTTGACCAGGGGCAGAGTAAAGAGAAGTGGGTGAAATCCAATGCAGACGAATTGGGATAAATGTGGCCAATGGTCACACACGGAAAAGACCAGAGTGGCTTCTGACACCCTGAGTCCTGAGCTCAGGCTCTCAGGTGTTAGATGGCCCCCGAAATCCGGAATCCCAGGAGCAGCAGACAGGGTCAGCTTGTGGTGGGCCCCATGATCTCATCTCTTCTTTCTTCCTCGCCACTATTAGTGCTCACATAGGCAGAAAGAGGTAGCCCGACGTGCACACCATGTGCAAACTGTGCCTGCTTAGCCAGCCCTTGGCCTCTCCTTGAGGGCTGGCCCTCGGCCTTCCTGCCGCATGGGGAGCCTCTTACTTCCCAACAAAATCCCCCCTTTAATTGCTCATCCCATTCAACAACTCCGTCCAAGGCCTTTTGAATTTCTGGATCAACTTCTTTGGGGAAGAGGGAAGAAGGGAGCTCAGAGACATAGAAAGAGAGGGGGGAGAGAGAGAAAAAAAAGAGAGAGAGATAAAGAGGGGGAAGTGGTGAGATTAAGAGTTGCAAAGATTAAAAAAAAAAATCTCTTTCTCCCCCTTCTCCCTCTCTCCTCCTCTCCCCCTCCCCCCCCCACTCTGGCTAAGTGGTAAAACCGTCCTTACGTTCTCGGTATTGATTGGCAGGGCTGACAGTGATTGGCAGCGGTTGCCTTGGCAACGCCACAACGACACGCCGCAGACCAATAGAAAAGCGAAACAAAATGTTTCAATGCTGCACTCACTGTGGATTTAGGGGAGATATTATGAGGCTGTTGTCATTAGGGCGATTGCTGTGGAATCGCTGAATCTTGACTCGGCGGTGGTTGGCTCTCGCTCTTCTCTCTCTCTCTCTCTCTCTCTCCCTCACCCTCTCCCTCTCTGTCTCGGGTTCTCTGCGCGCGCGCACCGGGCCGCTCTCCTTCCTCCCTCTCTATGTGGCTGCGCGGGTGTGTGTGTGTGTGGATGTGTGTGGGGTGTGGGTGTCCCTTACGCCCTTCCTCCTCCCCCTCCTCCTCCTCCTCCTCCTGCTCCCCCCTCCTTTCCTTCTCCTCCTCCCCCCTCTCCTCTCCCTCCTCCTGGTCCTCATCGCCCCTCTCCTCCTCTTCCTCCCCTCTCTCTTCCTCTCCCTGAATTTTCTCCTCTCCTCTCAGGTCAGTCCATGGTATTCCGCTCCCCCCTAGACCTCTATTCCTCCCACTTCTTGTTGCCAAACTTCGCCGATCCTCATCACCGCTCCCTACTTCTGGCGAGTAGCGGCGGCGGGAACGGTGCGGGCGGCGGCGGCGCGGGCGGCGGCGGCGGCGGCGGCGGCGGCGGGAACTGTGCGGGAGGCGGCGGTGCTGGCGGAGCAGGCGGCGGCGGCAGCGGCGGCGGCTCCAGGGCCCCCCCCGGAAGAGTTGTCCATGTTCCAGCTGCCCACCCTCAACTTCTCGCCGGAGCAGGTGGCCAGCGTCTGCGAGACGCTGGAGGAGACGGGCGACATCGAGCGGCTGGGCCGCTTCCTCTGGTCGCTGCCCGTGGCCCCCGGGGCGTGCGAGGCCATCAACAAGCACGAGTCGATCCTGCGCGCGCGCGCCGTGGTCGCCTTCCACACGGGCAACTTCCGCGACCTTTACCACATCCTGGAGAACCACAAGTTCACCAAGGAGTCCCACGGCAAGCTGCAGGCCATGTGGCTCGAGGCGCACTACCAGGAGGCCGAGAAGCTGCGCGGCCGCCCGCTTGGCCCGGTGGACAAGTACCGCGTGCGCAAGAAGTTCCCGCTGCCGCGCACCATCTGGGACGGCGAGCAGAAGACGCATTGCTTCAAGGAGCGGACTCGGAGCCTGCTGCGGGAGTGGTACCTGCAGGACCCCTACCCCAACCCCAGCAAGAAACGCGAACTGGCGCAGGCCACCGGCCTCACTCCCACACAAGTAGGCAACTGGTTTAAGAACCGGAGGCAGCGCGACCGCGCCGCGGCGGCCAAGAACAGGTCAGTGGCGGGCCCGCGGCCTGGCTACCGTCTCTGGGGCCCGGGAGGGAGACAGGGGTTGAAATAGGGGCGAATGGGGCAGGGTGTCCATGGCTGCCGGGCGCGCGAGAAGCCGCGACCCCCTGGCCAGTTGGAGAAAGTTTCCGCTTGCCCAGACGCGCAGAAGAGGGACCGGGCAGTGGGAGTCTTGACGACTTTGTCCGAGAGGGGCTTCGGGCAGGGTGGAGAGTGTGTGTGTGTTTGAGGTCCTGAGTGCCCACAGCCCCTGGTCGCAGCCCTGGGAGCCCCAGCCCTGCCCTGCACCCGTGCCACCTGCTCAGCCCGTCCCCAGCTCCGCACTCCTCTGGAGCCTACAGACAGGGAAGGAAGGAAAGCCGCCCTTGCCATCTGGTTCTTGTTTCTGTGCACTGCAAAAACCCGAGGAGGAATCCACAATGTCATGGAAAGGAAACTGAACCTGGGTCTCTGCCACAAAAGGAAAAAGGTCGGGTGACCGCCGTGGAGCAGGCCTCTCCTTCAGCATTGCTAATGGGCTGCCCAGGAGCTGGACACCAGGCAGGGAGTGGAGAGGCCTTGTGTGTGTGTACGTGTGTGTGTGTGTGTGTGTGTGTGTGTGTGTGTGTACACGTGCACACAGGTGCCAGTCCTCCTGCCCCAGTCAAGGAGCACCGCCTTGGTCCACTAACTTGGGAAGCCACCAGGAGCAGGAAGAGCCCCACTGCCAGCATGTTGGCCACAAAGTCACAAAGTTGCCTGGGCTTGGCCAGTCAGCCCACTTGGGCCTGTTGGAGGTAGGGAGAAAAATAACTAGAGGAAAAGAGGAGGGAAGGGGGCAGGGAGGAAGTGGGGTGAAAGCCCTGGTAAGAAGCTTGCGTCCCTACCTAGCCTCTGAAGGCCCTGGGCCGGGTGTACCACAGGGAGCAGGGCCCCAACTGCTGACAGCTGCTAGGGGCTGGAGGCCAGGGCTGAGTTCCTGGAGTGAATGAGTGTGTTTGTGTTTAGGTGGCCCAGGCCTGAGCCCTGGGCCCCCTCACCTTTGCACGCAGAGCCAGTTTTTCGCCTGAGACGGGGGAGTGCCCGGGATAGGGGGAGGCCTCCTTGTAGGAACTCAGAGACTCTAGGCCCCAGGCCGCTGATGCCTGCTGTGGCAAAGGGGCAGACGGAGACTGCTCTGCACCCCTTTCCTGCTGCTTTCTCTCCTTTCTCTGTTGCACCTCTTCCCCACTTTTTCTGCTTCTGGCTTCTCCGTTCTCTCTGCCCCTGCTCCTGCGCTCAGCACGGGGATCCAGAGAGCAAAGCCAGCGGGTCCTACTCCGCAGAGGCTGCGGTGAGCAACCCGCAGCTCTGGGTGTGTTCGCGGGAGCTGGGGCAGGAGCCACTGCGAAGACCGACTGCTCCTGGGCAGCCGGTTCAGTCTGAAGAGTCCCAAGGGGCTGGGAAGGAAGGAGCACCCTGTCCCTCCAGGACTTGTGCTCTTTGGGGACGCGGCCCCCCGCGCTGTGCTCCCAGGCCTCCCCAGGCGGCCGGCCACGGGTGCTACCTCTCCTTGGAGGCCGGCCCCGAACTGGGAAGCCTTGGGAAGCTCCAGAGAGCCCCGGGGAGGGGGCTGGGGAGACGCTAGTCAAGCCCCGCGCTGGAAGGCTCTGTGGCGTTCAGTGAGCAGTCGGGGGCTTGGAGGCAGGGGAGGAGAAGGGAATGAGCGCCGGGAGCCGAGTCGCGGGTGGTGGCGAAGGGCGCGCTGTGGAGGCTGGGGAGCACCGGCGGCCGCGGGCGCGGGGAGGCGGCTTGACGGAGCCGGGTGGCGGAGCCGCTGTGTCAGGGCTGGTGCCGCTCTCTGTCTCCCGCAGGCTTCAACACCAGGCCATCGGGCCGAGCGGCATGCGTTCGCTGGCCGAGCCCGGCTGCCCCACGCACGGCTCCGCAGAGTCGCCGTCCACGGCAGCCAGCCCCACCACCAGCGTGTCCAGCCTGACGGAGCGCGCGGACACCGGCACCTCCATCCTCTCGGTAACCTCCAGCGACTCGGAATGTGATGTATGATAGCCAAGGCCGCCCTCCTCCCCCTCCCCCTCTCCCTCCTCCCCCTCCTCCTCCTCCTCCTCCTCCTCCTCACCCTCCTCCTCTTCCTCTTCTTCCTCCTCCATCCCCAGAACAAACCGAAATCAGGATACACAATCATACACACACACACACACACACACACACACACAAGTAAACACACACTTCCATCCCAGCCAAAAATATATAAAAACCAAGAAAAATAACAAATTAAACACAAACTATCAACAACCCCAACCACCATCTACCACCACGGCCACCCCAAAGGACCGCGACGCCAACAGACAGTTACAAACGCTGATGTTGCGGGCAGAAAACATAAAAGAGGTGACAATTGTATACTTTCTAGGACAAGCACGGCTTCTCCTTTCGGTTCCCACGGACCCGGCGCCCCACCTGCATGACGATTTATTTGTATCTGGGAAAATATTCTCTCTAGTTTAAACGATTTAAAAAGAGTCGACTATACAAAAACCGACCACCACCACGACGACAAGATGACAAAAGCAAAACAGACAAAAAAGAGAAAAAATAAAACAAAACCGCCATCTACGTTCAGAATTTGTTTTTAAAAAAAAAGAAAAAGAACTCCTTGAGAGGGAAATAGCAAATGTTTCTCGCCTTTTGTTGCTCGCTCTCTTTTTTCCTCTCTCGCTCTTCTTTCTCTGTTTTTAAGTCCAAGTATTGGTCAAACAAAATGCAATCTTCTGTTTTTTGTTCAGCAGACAATCATTTTCTTCGTAAGCACCTTTTTCTCTCCACTCTGTCACTGCCTGTGTGGGTACTGGTTATAAATGTGGAAAAAGAATAGTTATGACTGTAACAGATTTTTATTTTTATTTCAAAATTTTATATGAATTATGTATATCTTAATGATCGGTCATTTTCCCAGTTTGTAATATATGTGTAGAAATTGCCTGTATATGATATTTGCTTTTTCTCCTCTTCCTTTTGCATTCTCCTCCCCACCCCTTCCTGCCTCCCCACTCACCTGTCTCTTTCCTTTTCGGGGTTCCCCTCCCACTCGGTGTTCCTGGCGTCGACTTGGCAGTCAAGGCGTGGCGTGGCGGGCTGGGTTAGGAAGAGGGACCCCGTCGCTAGCGGAAGCGGAGAGTGAGACCGTAGTATTCTTATGCAAAAGCTATTTCGAGTATTTCTTAGCTGCTTTGGAGAAATCTCTCACTCCCCGTAGGACGCTTTTACTGTTATCTTAACTGCGTGTTTATCTATATGTAAAAACTTTCTAAAGCAAATACAGTATTCTCCATTTTCTTATCACTCCCGGAGACTGGTGTTTTTGTCCGCCCCGGGGCACAGCCTGGGGTGCAGCGCTGGGCCTTCACTTCCCCTCCAACTACGCCACTCGAGCTGGGGCAGAATTTTAAGGCTGAGTAGAAGCTTTTTCCTGGAGGTGGTGAGGGTTGGGGGTGGGGGGTGGGAAGATGGGAACAGGCCCTTCGGAGGAGAACCAAAGCCAAGTCCGGAACGAAAGGCTCAGAGGGCACAGGGGGAGGGGGGCTCTGGCTGGTTTCTTCAGAAGGAGATGCCAGGCCGAGAGCCGCAGGAATTAGAGCCTGCAGCGGCCCTTGTGGGTCCTTGGGGTGTGTTTGGCATCTTCCAGTTGCTGTTGTTGTGTGTCTGTGTGACTTTTTTTTTAACAATAAACACACAAGGTCACCAAACCAACCATCCACTTACCCAGAGCAGAGCCGACAGGTTTTGTCTTCTTTTTGCGGGGTGGAGTTGGGGACAACCGTAGTCAGGGCAGGGAGGGCAGAGAGAGGAAAGGAGGAGGTAGTCTGAGGAGTTTAGGGCCTGCAGTTGGGATGGACCCTCTCCTTGCCACCGGTGTTCGCGTCTGTGTGAATCTATGACTTGCCTTATGGCTCTCGATCTCTCTCCTTGAAATTACTTCCCGACTTTTGGAATCAACAGGAGTCTCTCCAGCCCCTAAGACATTTTCAGAGCTGGTTGACACTTGAAAACAAAAACCAAAAAGAAAATCATCATCTTTTGCTAACCAGGTTCTCACTGGCCCCAGGCCTCCTTGTCCTGCCCAACCCCCCCCCCCGCCCCCCTTCCCCCAGTTCCCTGCGATGGTGTGACTGACCGTGCCTCTGCCGCTCTGGGCCAGGCCAGCCAGAGCCCAAGGAGCCAAAGAACTAATTTCAGAAAACTTGCCTTCACTTGAAAGTCCAATTTCCAGAGGCAGGCGGATTAGGGAGAAACGTGCATGGAATTTCACACTGGTTCCAAACTAAATTTGACTTCCGATTTCCTTTTGTCCCCATCTCCAGTCTGGCCATGGGGTTTACACAGGGCCTGGCCCAGGCGGAAAGGCCGACAGGACCAGAGGTGCCCTGTGCGTGCAGATGGGGCCTTGTGCACCCAGGGTGAGCTTGCCTGGAGGGGAAGGTTTCTGTGTGCATCCTGCCTTAGACCCAGGGCTTTCAGATGGCCTCAAGAGCTTCCAAGTTCTAAGGCCTGGCGCACAGTGTCAGAATCTGCCTGCATTCACCGTCTTGGGAAACATTCCTCATGATGCCACAGTTCAGGCAACATTGACCTGGGTGGCAGGAATATGGGGAGGGTGCTGCTGGCTTCTTCCCAGATGGGGCCTCTGTTCTAGTGCACAGAATGATGCCTGGGATGACAGGCTCCGTTCCCCACCTGCATTTTAAAATGTATGGTTCAGACTTGCCCCAGAACTTGGGCCTGAAATCCAAAGAAGGGGCGGCCTCAGACAGCGCAGAGGCTCCGGATGGACCTACCCAGCTGACTAACTAGAATGGATTAGTGGAAGGACAGGGTGGCCCTGCTGGCTGGTGACTCCTGGAGGGGCTTTGACTGGTGAACCAGGGAGCAGATGCCTTTTTGTCTGGGGACAGAGGACAAACTTGTGGACTTAAAAAGCCTCCTTCTCACAACATACCCAAGAAAGCAAGCAAGATCGGAGTATCCAGTACCCACTCCTCCCTCTCCACTGCAGAAGACAAGCCATTCAACTCCATAACAGCCTTCAGCTTTGGGAACCGAGGTTCTGCTACCTGCCTGTCTCGCTGTCACCTCTCACTCTCTCTCATCTCCTGTGTTTCTGCTCGGGTCTGTACAAACATCCAAACTCAGCTCCAGGGTACCTGAAGGAGAGGTATGAGTACTTGTGATGAGTGGTGTGGATGTGTACAATTCCGAATGCTGGGCTCCCCCCATGCAGTTGAGGTCTGCATATAAAGGCGTGTGTGTGTGTGTGTGTGTGTGTGTGTGTGATGTTTGATATACATGGGTATATAGTGTATCAGTGTGTGTCCAGTATGTGTGCTCTTTCATATTGCCTATACTGTAGGTATTTGTGTGTGGTTTGGGCAGTTGATACTTACCTAGTTCGGCAAGAAGTGGATCATGTTCAGCTATAGGGTGCTGTGTGTACAGGGCCTTTCCGTGCCGTGAACATGTGTTTTGTGGGTCTCCATTCTGGTGGATTCCCTTGTTCTACTCAAACCACAGATATGACTCCCAGGCTACACAGCCCTAACTGACTGTTCTCTGCCTTTAAGGAATGGGGACCGGGGGATCACAGTCCTTATTCTTTGACCAGAGGCACAGGGGAGTTGGGCCCTTTGGCTTCCCCAATTCATCCTTTACCCTGATCACTGAGGATATTACATTGGATTTGACCTCGGTCCCTTTAAACATGGAAGTGAGAGAAAAGAGGCCCCTTTCCAGCCCGATCTCTCCTTTTTTGGGCTGCCTGCCCATTCTCTTTCTGGGTCCCTCAAAGCTCTGGCCAAGACAATCAACATCCCAGGGGCAGCCAGGACAGAGCTCAAGGGTGAGACCTGATGGAAGTTCCTGCTGGCAGAGAAGCCAGCTCAGCCACTGTGTCCAGCAGCCCCCCACCTCAGCCTGGGAATGCTGCGGGCTGTGTCTTGGGGAGAGTGTGTTCACTGGTATGTCCATTCTTGTGAGCCATGTCAGGCTGGGTGATCAGGCCTGAACATTAAGCATCCACCCTCTCTGTCCAACCCCAGGGCAGCCCATGGGTCAGCTCTCCTCCTTCTGGTGCTGCCCTGCTCTGGCACACACTACCCTCTCTGCACCCCTGCCCCACACGCTCATACCCCAGCAGGAGTGCTTGAAGTCTTCCCCTGTGTGTAGGCCTCTGTGTACCTGGACTGCCTACTCTAGGGATAAGGAGCTTGAAGAAGAGCAGCGGAGCTGGGGATAGTGTCTTCATTCCTGCCTCCCTCAAAGAAAAACAATGGCAATCCAGAATTTGCATGGGAAAACTGAAGCCACGGAAAGGGAAGCAAAGCTGGAAAAATCTGTGCTAAAGTTGCTGGCGCCTAGAAGCTGCCTGCCTGAGGTTAGAAAGGCCAATCTACCCCTTCCGGCCTACTCACCTCTTCTTCCTTGCACCCCTCCCCCCACCGGGAGTTCTGCCCCCCCACCCCACCCCTCTTTTTGCCCTCTTCCAATCCTGCAGAATTGACTGCCCAGCACCAACACAGTTAATTATCCCAAGTGAGACATACAGCTGGTTAAAATGAAATGACCTGGAAGCTGCCATGACATGGGGTGGGGATTGCTGGTGGATAGTAGGAGTGAAGGCAACAATAGGAGCCTGGCTGGTTCCGGCTGGGACTCAGGTTGGAGGTGGTGGGAACAGCCAGGGATGGCCAGACTTTGGATGTGGGGAGGGCTACCAGGGAGGCGAGAGGGCCAGGCCCAGGCCTAGGTGGGTCAAGTTGAGGTGGAACGTGAACCCTACTGTGGGCTGTGGCAAGAGAGGGACTCTCAGCTTCTTTGGAAAGGAGAACCGACCAGCCTGGCACATTTGGGACCTAGCCCATCGCTAGGGTCACGGGAGCTCGAAGCCCAGGCTCCAACCTGTGGCACATTGGGTGCACTTGGCCTCCCCCAGCAGGGAATGACCCCCGTCTCTTCTCTCTCACCCTTTTTGTGCCTCCATGGCCATCCAGGTC